TTTTTTTAATACATGATAGTGGAGACAATTTTAGTTAATTCCATTAAAAGACTTACATGACAAGTTTAAAACTGACATTGAAGCAAATACCCTCACATACTGACTGAATGCTTACTAAGTGGCGGACAGGGCTGCAGGTGTCGGTAATACAGGACAGAAGGCCTGACCCAGCTCTCGGAGTGCTCACAGTGTGGTTAGAGAGACAGATAACGAAGCTGATACTTAGTGCAGGTACTACAGCTAAGAAGAATGGAAGTTGGATACAAAGGACCAGAGAACATTTCCTGGGGGAGAAAAATTGCAACTGAATTTTTTTATTTTATTTTATTTTTTTTTTTTTTTTTTTTTGTGGTACCGGGGATTGAACTCAGGACCTTGCTCTTGCCAGGCAAACACTTATTCTACTGAGCTATCTCCCCAGCCTGCAACTGACTCTTAAAGGAGAAATTTAATCAAATTTGTCAGGCAGAGAGCTAGAATGTGGTATTCCAGGCAAAGGGAAGAGAAGAGAAGAGATACTAAAAGTTGGCAGCTATCTGACGCAACCAGAGGGGCTTTGGAGAAATAGCAAGGCCCCAGCTCATAAAAGCCCTCATGTGTTATGCTGTAATGCTTATTTTAATGTTATTTTGGGATACATTTGAAAGAGTTTGAGCTAGCAAATCACATAATCAAGTACATAACTCAGAAATATTTACTAAACCAGTCTTCTGTGTTATATTTCAATCTGGTTCCTTCTCCTCACTTGCTAAAAATCAACTTCCATATCAGAGGAAACAGTTATCTTGTTTAACCTAAGACTGTCATCATGTTGTTGATAGGCATTTGTGTATTTATGAACTTCGTTGAAAGCTATGAAAGTTGCCATCCAGATCTTTAAATTTTAGTAGCTCACAGCAGTGAGATACAAAGTTCATCACATCTGACAATCTCATTTCTTGAATGATTATAGCATAAGGCTCAGAAAAAAAAAAAAAAAAACAACTTTGCTTTTGGACACTGTCCAACAGAGTAAGCCTTTTAATACACTTGGCATGAAGATGTCATGGACGCTCATTCCGAAGCTCAGTTCTCACATGGTAATAATCCTTCATCGTAAGTATACTGTACTTGACAGCGAACAGTGCGAAGCCACCAGATGATGTGTTTTACATTACACATTACACAATCTCTTTTTTGCAGCCTGATTTATAGGAGGGGGGAAAAAAAAACCTTTGGTAAGTCTGACTTTACTGGGATTTACATCATAGTCCAGGACTGTCACCTCTTGATTCAGAGAAGTAACACGGTTCTCGCCAGCTGTCTTCTGCCTATCAGGAGACACAAGGTAGGAGTCCCTGCCTGTGACTATGAAGGAACTCAGGAGCGTTTTTCGCTTCTGCATCTGAAGTATTTCTCAGATTTCCAGGCTCAGTTTCTGACGGATCTACAGAGCCACCACATTCTGCCTGCACTTGGTTTCCAGGTCATGGGCAGGGCACAGTTATTCTTAGAGCAGTCAGCTTCTGCCCAGGTAGCTGTACTTCTCCTTATCCTGAGTGGTCTTCAGATATTTCACATCTGCCTAGTTTCCTGCCACTAACCTTATTTAACCTCAGTTTTCTCAAACACAATATAATAGCAACATAAAAATGTAACCTAACAATGTTGTGAGCAAATTCAGTTCTATAACAGAACAAAATGAAGAGCCATAGTGCCATTAGAAAAACACAGGCGAGTTGGAGTCACATAGCTTACTGTGTACCAAATTTGCCCTACCCGATGTCCTAGTGACCATCCTACCTACGTAATATAGACACATTGTCCTCACGTGCTGACACCGAAACCCTCTCAGAGAGATGACAGCGGCCCTTCAAGCGCCGCTAAACACACTAGAAACACCACAGGAATGGAGCTCCAGGTGCATTTGTCTGCCTAGATGGTCTTCTCACCACGCAGCTCTCCTCAACAGTGAATTTTAGACAGCATGAATGTTGTGTTACATGATGTAGTAACCCTGTATAGCATTTGGAGGTGATTAAAGTGGCTTTCGCCTATATCTTACTTGATGTACAGAATGACTTGTGAGATAAGTGTGATTATCCCTGTTTTACACGAGAGAAAGCTAAGCCTCAGTAAGATTACGTGACTTGCACAACAGGAAATACCTTATAGATGGCACAGCCAGTAGTCACAGCCACAGACATATGCAGAGCCAGGAGTCCCCGAGGTGGGGTACGCTTGTATCACTTGCCCTACTGACGTTATTATTTGTCCTTATGGCCACAGATTTTTTTGTGTATTTTTTTTCTGTGTTATTTATTTTTTATTTTTTGACATCAGTTATTATCATTTTAAAGAAAAAAAATTAAAAAATGGTACAAAATCTCAAAACAAGATTTTAGGAGAGTAACAATGGTTAGTACATTATGTATTGTTACTGCCAAAGTAGTTTCTCATATTACAAGATATAGGCAAGAAATAATAAATAAATAACATAGGTACAAACCTCTGTTTGT